TTAAGAATTTTCCACTGCCTGGCCCTCTTAGAGAACAAAGGATTGAGCTGCATACCAAAGGAGAGCTGCATACCGGCCCCTCCCCACCCAGAGGCTGAGAGGCAGGCTTGTGACAGCCTGAGGCAGAAGGCAAGGGGCTGTTACAATCTCAGCCCCAGAGATAGCATCTTCCACCAACAGTGAGCAGGCTCTCAGCTGTCTTCCTGAGATCCTGGGTGGTTGACGTCTGCCGGAAGGGTTGCAGCCTGAGATCAGCTCTCCTGAGGAGACAAACGGCACACCTGAGACAGTGCTCTTGCGGCACCCCCAGGAAAGTGAGCGGTTGGGATCTGGGAGGTGATTAAGATGCACGGCCCACCTGGGACAGTGCGCTCGCCAAGCACCTGGTCACCCGAGCGGCTCAGTCCTGGGAATGGCACAACATGCCCAGCCCACAGAGACTGAGCCAGAAACACGTCTCCTGCAGAGGTGCGGTCAGCAGAGGCCTGCCGCAGGGCTCTGGGTGCAGCAGACCTGGCTATGGCAAAAGCCCTTTCTGGAGGGTGCCATTAACCCCACCATAGAGCCACCAGAACTTACACAGGACTGAGGAAACAGGACTCTTGGAGGCCACAAACGGAACCTTGTGCACACCAGGACCCAGGAGAAAGGAGCAGTGACCCCACAAGGGACTGGCCCAGACTTGCCCGTGAGTGCCCAGGAGTCTCTGGCGGAGGCGTGGGTCGGCGGTGGCCTGCTGCAGGCTGGGGGCACTGAGTGCAGCAGTGCAGCACGGGACCTTCTGAAGGAGGTCGCCCTTATCTTCATTACCTCCACCATAGTTTGGCCTCAGGTCATGCAACGGGGAGGGAACACAGCCCTGCCCATCTTCAGAAAATTGGATTGAAGATTTATTGAACATGTCCCCGCCCATCAGAACAAGACCCAGTTTCCCCCTCAGTCAGTCTCTCCCTTCAGGAAGCTTCCATAAGCCTCTTATCCTTCTCCCTCAGAGGGCAGATGAAAACCACAATCACAGAAAACTGACCAATCGGATCACATGGACCACAGCCTTGTCTAGCTCAGTGAAACTATGAGCCGTACTATGTGGGGCCTCCCATGACAGACAGGTCATGGCGGAGAGTTCTGACAAACTGTGGTCCACTGGAGAAGGGAATGGCAGACCACTTCAGTGTTCTTGCCTTGAGAACCCCATGAACAGTATGAAAAAGCAAAAAGATAGGACACTGAAAGATGAACTCCCCAGGTCAGGAGGTGCCCAATATGCTGCTGGAGAGGAGTGCAGAAATAGCTGCAGAAAGAATGAAGGGACGGAGCCAAAGGAGGAACAGCATTCAGTTGTGGATGTAAAGTCCGATGTTGTAAAGAACAGTATTGCATAGGATCTTGGCATGTTAGATCCATGAATCAAGGCAAATTGGAAGTGGTCAAACAGGAGATGGCAAGAGTGAATGTCGACATTTTAGGAATCAGTGAACTAAAATGGACTGGAATGGGTGAATTTAACTCAAGATTATATCTACTATTGTGGGCAAGAATCCCTTAGGAGAAAAGGAGTAGCCATCATAGATAAGAGTTCAAAGTGCAGTACTTAGATGAAATCTCAAAAACAACAGGACGATCTCTTTTCAAGGCAAACCATTCAGTATCACAGTAATCCAAGTCTATGCCCCGACCAGTAATGCCGAAGAAGCTGAAGTTGAATGGTTCTACGAAGACCCACAAGACCTTCTAGAACTAACACCCAAAAAAGATGTCCTCTTCTTTGTAGGGGACTGGAATGCAAAAGTAGGAAATCAAGAGATACCTTGAGTAACAGGCAAATTTGGCCTTGGAGTACAAAATGAAGCAGGGCAAAGGCTAACAGAGTTTTGCCAAGACAATGCACTGGTCACAGCAAACACCCTCTCCCAACAACACAAGAGAAGACTACACATGGACATCACCACATGGTCAATACTGAGATCAGATCGATTGTATTCTTTGCAGCCAGAGATGGAGAAGCTCTATACAGTTAGCAAAAACAAGACTGGGACCTGACTGTGGTTCAGATCATGAACTCCTTATTGCCAAATTCAGACTTAAATTGAAGAAAGTAGGGAAAACCACCAGACCATTCAGGTATGACCTAAATCAGATCCCTTAATCATTATGCAGTGGAAGTGAGGAATAGATTCAGGGGATTAGATCTGATAGAGTAACTGAAGAACTATGGATGGAGGTTCGTGATATTGTACAGGAGACAGTGGTCAAGACCATCTCCAAGAAAAAGAAATGCAAAAAGGCAAAATGGTTGTCTGATGAGGTCTTACAAGTAGCTGAGAAAAGAAGCTAAAGGCAAAGGAGAAAAGAAAAGATATACCCATTTGAATGCAGAGTTCCAAAGAATAGCAAGGGAGAGATAAAGCTTTCTCTAGTGATCAGTGCAAAGAAATAGAGGAAAAAGAGAGTGGGAAAGACTAGAGATCTCTTTAAGAAAATCAGAGATACCAGGGGAACATTTCCTGTAAAGATGAGCTCAATAAAGGACAGAAATGGTATGGACCTAACAGAAGCAGAAGATATTAAGAGGTGGCAAGAATACACAGAAGAACTATGCAAAAAAGATCTTCATGCCCTGGATAACCATGATGGTGTGATCACTCATCTAGAGCCATCCTGGAATGTGAAGTCAAGTGGGCCTTAGAAAGCCTCACTACGAACAAAGCTAGTGGAGATGATGGAATTCCAGTTGAGCTATTTCAAATCATAAAAGATGATGCTGTGAAAGTGCTGCATTCAATATGCCAGCAAATTTGGAAAACTCAGCAGTGGCCACAGGACTGGAAAAGGTCAGTTTTCATTCCAATCCCAGAGAAAGGCAATCCCGAAGAATGTTCAAAGTACCACACGATTGCACTCATCTCACATGCTAGCAAAGAAATGCTCAAAATTCTCCAAGCCAGACTTCAACAGTATGTGAACTGTGAACTTCCAGATATTCAAGCTGGTTTTAGAAAAGACAGAGGAACCAGAGATCAAATTGCCAACATCTGCTGGATCATTGAAAAAGCAGGAGAGTTCCAGAAAAATGTTTGCTTTATTGACTATGCCAAAGCCTTTGTGTGGATCACAACAAACTGTGACATGTTTTCTATGTTACATGTAGTTTATACTGTAATCTTACAATAAAGTAAGCTTAGAGAAGATAAAACACTATTAAGGGAATCATAAGGAAGAGAAAAGACATTTTCAGTTCTGTACTGTACTGATGGACATAGGAAGTTTGCTTTGTATGTTTACAAAATGAGTCATTTTCTGTCTGTACCTTCATCACTGCTGTCTTAATAGGATACAAAATCTGTAGGTATCATGTGTTTCACTGGACATCATAATGAAAATGTGAAAAAGGAATTCATAGTTATTTACAGGTGTGAAGCGACAGCAATGGGATTGCTTTCTGGTAGCTTAATGTCTGAGATATGATTGCTTCATAGTAGCCTAGCCTGTGCACTTATTAACGAGTTGTAAAATTTGCATAGCATTTCAAATTTTGTACAGTCATGTTCAATATAGTATTAGAAATGCTACATTTAAAGAAAAACAACCTCTGATGATAGGTTGATGTGTCACCTATAATAACTTCTCCAGTTAGGAGAGAGTCATACTGTATGATACTGTAATTCTTTGAAAGTAAAGTTATAAAAGTGAGAAAATGAAAGTTAATTTTATATTAAGTATCACTTTATGCCTGTGTAAGGATAGACTAATATCTATATCTGCATATATTCTATGCATTCATGACACACCTTTTTTTCATTTTCTTTTTTTTTCATTTTTTTTTTTCATTTATTTTTATTAGTTGGAGGCTAATCACTTTACAATACTGCAATGGGTCTTGTCATACATTGACATGAATCAGCCCATTTTCTTTTATATCTTTAGTCTGTGTGGTTCGCCTTCAAATTTTCCAAATTGTCATAAATCTCCAAACATTTTTCCAATATATTTATCAAAAAAAAAAGTCTGTGTATTCCCTGATGGCTCAGTTGATAAAGAATCCACCTGCAATGCAGGAGACCCCGATTCGATTCCTAGGTTGGGAAGATCCCCTGGAGAAGGGATAGGCTACCCATTCAAGCATTCTTGGACTTACCTTGTGGCTCAGCTGGTAAAGAATCCACCTGCAATGAGGGAGACCTGAGTTTGGTCCCTGGGTTGGGAAGATCTCCTGGAGAAGGGAACAGCTATCCACTCCATATTCTGGCCTAGAGAATTGCATGTACTGTATAGTCCGTGGAGTCACAAACAGTTGGACACAACTGAGCGACTTGCACTTTCATAATTGGGCCCAGACAGTTCAAACCTGTGTGGTTCAGTGGTCAACTGTACTTACCAAGAAATAGGATCTAAAATGTATTGTTCATCACTTTGTTGATATGTGATGGATTATTTTAGTAGCTACAGTGATTCCGTATTATTCCACCTTAGAATTGACAGACAGCTTGTCTGTTGCCCTCCGCTCTGTCCCATTGCAACCACTGTTGAGTTGGTTTTATGAATAAGTTTAAGGTGAAACTGCTGGTCTGTTTCATAAGATGTGTTATGAGAAACAGTCCTGGGAAACTTGTCCTGTTAAGTATATGAAGATTCACAGGAGAAATTGCAGTAGTTTCATTCTCCTGTTTTCTTGCAAGTTAAAGAAGGGAAACTTGATGAGAAAAGTAGAAATAAATGCAAGTGTGGTTGTTTCTTCCTGTCGTGCTTAGTGGCTCTCAGGTGACAATATAAAAATAACTATCTCTGTGGAAGAAGTTATTCAACTTGGGCATTGTTTAACAAATTTTTAGAGTTGAGCTAGTTTTGTTTGATTCAAATTATGAACAAGTAAATAAAAACAAGTGTGACAGAGATTTGAGACTTTATTATAAGTTCCCCAAACTTACTTGGGAACAGAGAAACTACATCAACCATTTGTGCTTTTAAATAATTTAAATAGTTGAATTTTCCTTCTCTTTCAGTTCCTGGAATTGATGGAGGTGCTTTGACTGATACGAGTCTCACAGATTCCTATTTCAGCACCAGCTTTATTGGAGTCAATGGATTTGGAAGCCCTGTGGAGACGAAGTATCCTGTGATGCAGGTATTGTTGGCGTGAATTCTCATGGCCCTGGACACTGAGGTGTGTTTTGGGGATGGAGACCTCTAGAGTCTTCCTTTGTCCTCACATTTGGTGAGTGGGAGGTGGACCTTTAGGAGGTGATGAGGTCAGAGGGATACAGGTAAGCCACCTCCTGTAGTGAAGTCAGGTGAGCTTTCAAGGGTGGAGTTGAAGTGTAGAGGATGGTTAGAAAGAGGCTAGTTTTCCTCCTGTGTGTGTTGTGCTTATGGGATGAAGTCCTTTCAGGATCGCGAGACCGTAGAGGCTGTGGAGTGTGTTAAGGAAGGGTGGGACATGGCCAGAGAACAGAGACGAGCCTAATTTCATAGCATCTATCAGGTGTATGAAGGATAATACGTATTGAGGGAGAATAGCAGAGTGTTTATTGACTCTGTCATTCACATCCCCCAGATGGATACTTACGAAGAAGGAAACTGAGTAGTTATGTGTCTTGCTCAGGCTAGTAAGTTATGGAAGTGCAGTTCAAAATGGTTCTGTGACTGGTTTTAAATACCTGGCTAATGAGTAAAATAAGTTTCTGGCTAGGTGATTGTAGTCCATGCAGCAGCATTATAGGAAGGTGAGCATGTCACTGACGTGAACGATGGGTTGGAGGGGTAGATGCAAAGAGGGTCAGTCTAAACCTAATCGGTTGAATATTCTTAATTCTGCATTCTTCAGTGATATTATGTATATATGTTTTAATTTTCAGAGAATGACTAATAGTAGCAGCTCCCCAAGCCTTCTAAATGACAGTGCCAAGCCATACGCAGGCCATGGTAAGACTCAATCCCTTTTTCTTTTATAGGTATGTGTATTTCTGACTCTAAAAACAATATATCCATTGTAGAGATTTTGGAAATTATAGATATAAGGAAGAAAAAAGAAATGATCTATTATCTTCACAGTCGGAGGTAATTGTTAAAATTTGGATAAATATATATAAACACATAAAATACACTCAAGTATATGCATAATAATACTTAAGATCACATTAAATATACTTTTAAAATATAGCGTGAATGTTTCTCAATCATTGTAAATTGAATCCTATTGTTTATTTTCATAATTTACCTTTTTTTTTTTTTTAAAGATTACACTCCAATATTGGACTATGTGTATGAATCTGTGTTCATATTTTGAGTTATTTCTTTTGGAAACATTGTTAGACATGAAATTACTGTTTATGGTTATGGATGTTTTTTAAGACTTTTGATACAGAATTTCCTTTTTGTATCCTAATTGAAAAATAAATCTTTCTTTATCTTTCTGGATCCTATTTTAAAAATAAATGTTCAGGAATGCTTTTTTAAAAAGTATGTTACAATTGAATATTGGTGCAAACAGTTGTCTATAATAGTAAGAATTTGCATGTTGATTATTTCTTGAGATAGACATTTTATGTATGTGTATCAAGTTTCTCTCACTACTTGGAAATTTCAAATTTCTTTCACTGTAGGAAAAAGTAGCAACATTTTAATATTGAATTACTAAAAACAGATGTGTAGCATTATACTATTTTTGGTGTTCCCATAGGGTTTATATGCTGACTTGGTCCTTTATACTATCAAAGGTAGCATAAAAGATGAATAATACCTATTTTTAAGAGTTTGAATGTTTGATTACATAAAAATCTAGTGTTTTAATATTTTATTAACTTCTTTCTCTTTGCATTATTAATTAAATTAGTGTTAATTCTAATGAAGGACTAGACCATGAAAATCCAGACACAGGAAGCCAGATAAATATAGCAGCAGTTTTATGTACTGCATTATAAAAAGATTTAAGTCTCCTTTAAATGAGAAAATTTACTGTATTTTTTTAGGATTTCACAGATAGTTTGATGAGAAACATAAAATTAACTAAAGCTCAGAAATGAAGATAAAAATGTTTGGGTGCATATCATGCATTCCTTTTCAGAAACTCATTCTGATTTGCTAAGTGAGAAACAATTTAGAGATACACTTTTGTTTATAACTTCTGGCTACAGAGTAATGAAACTTTGAACCTTTAAAATCTTTGAATTTCATGTTAATATTTTGAAACATTTAATAGCCCCATCTTAAAAAATTTAATTTGCCTTATCTTTTCAGTATAACTGTCAAAAAGGGTGATAAACTTAACAGTATGGAATACTCTGCAGGGTAGATGGTTTTAAGGCCTTGCCTGAATATTAAAATCCAAGCCCTGTCTCTCAGTTATGTTTAACTATTTGACTATCTTCCCCTCTCCCCTGCCCCTTTTATATTTCTTATGACTTGGTCTCAAGAACACAGACTACAGGTAGACTTCCTTCATAAACACGTTGCTAATAACATGGTTAAGATTGCTTTTTTTTTTTCTATTTTATTTTTCTTTTGGTTCTGAGCAAATAGATACATCCTGATCTGTATAGTTGCTGAATAAATGTGTACTGAATATTGGCTGAATGAAGTATTCTCCAGTTTGTGTTTCTTTCCCTCAGAAAATATTTGAACATCCTCTGTGTGTGAGCATTGAGTTTGATATTGTGCAATATGATTTTTATTATTATTTATAAGCATTTGGGTTAAACATCTATTAGATTTGTAGGTTTCCTGAGTAGCCTGTGTGGAAACTTATGTAACTTACCTTCCAGATCCTCTAACTTCACCTGCTTCATCCTTGTTTAATGACTTTGGTGCCCTCAACATCTCTCAGAGAAGAAAGGTAGGTGCAATGGACATTTACATGAAACTAAATGGAACATAGGGGTGACACGGGTGTTGCTGACATAATGGTCAGTGTTCTCTGAAGTGGGGGAAGACTGGAATGTTCTTCTTGCCTTTTGTTAACCTTTTCCCTTGTTGTATATCTCTTAAAGGAGAATTTTGTTTGATCTCTGTGTATAATCTAGGGACTTTCTATGTGAAGGAACTAAATTCTTCTGCTTATTTTTGCTCATTTAAAACAAAATCTTAATATATTCTCTTTGTAAGATAAACATCTTACTTAATGTTGTAATTGCTGTTCTGTGACCCGTTGTAGGCATGTTAATCATCTTTTTGTTTTGTTTTCTGACCGCTTTGTCTAAATTTCAAAGATTTCTCCCCTAATCTAAACTTCTCATGAAAAGGCACACTTTTATCTTTAGCTTTTCATAATTGGCCCAACTGTTTAAAAACAGTTTAAAATCTCTTCATATTAGAAATTTAATTTTATTTGAAATTGAGGTTGAATAGATTTTGAAGTACCTCATAATAGTTTATTATAGTTTGATGCCTTTGAGTCTTAATGAGAATCGTTATGTTAATAGTAATAATAATCTAGAGGAGGTGGTATTTTTGGTTAGGAATAGCAGCTGCATATTCAGGAGGTTGTAAATTTGGTGGAAGTTACTATGAAATTACAACTAATTCAGTTTCCTAAGTAATGGGAGAAAGATTAAAAAGAAAAGAATGTTAATTTTAGAAAACTGATATAAGCTTAAGGTGCTTTTTAGGAAGTATCTGTTTAAAAGGTAGAATTCAGTGAATTTCAAGAAGACTAGATAAATTCAATGGATTTCAAGATGTTCCCTAGACAAAAAAATATGGGGTCAGGTATAAATTACATCAGTACCCTCATGTACCTACTATTATCTCCATTTTGAAACAGATGAGAATAAGATGTAATTACAACATGCTTTTAAGAAACACTGGACACAAGCAGCCTTGTTGGTGATGGTGAGAAGTGACAGTAGACGAAGCCTGTCACTGTAGCAGGAGATAGGAATGTGCTGGGTAGCAGGTCCAACCTAGACGTCAAGTTACCTGGAGCTTCTTAGTGTCGGGAAAATTAAAAAGCCCCTAAGTGGTTTTAAGGGTCTCTGCAGTGACCTTTTCACGTTTTTAAAAATAATAATCAGTTAACTGTGGTGAGTAGCATTTCCAATGAGTGAGTAAAAAGTAAAAGTGGAATGGCAAATAAATCCTTAAGTGTTCCTAATATGAGGGCTTGGTGGACTGCATCTTAAAGTTGAAATACATGATTTAGAGCTGCTGACATTAATTTTTGAGAAAAGCAGTAAAAATCCCTGGAGATTGGAAAAAGGTTATAATACCCATTCTTCTAAAATTTATTTTAGTAAAGCGAAACAATAGAAGGAAATGTTACTAGAGAGGTGAACTCTGTATGTGGAGAGATAATAAAATGTATCCAGATGGAAGAAGTATAGTGAATACTATATTAGTATAGTGAAGGGAGCACTGGCTGTAATTTTTGAGATCCTGGATCTCTAGCTTTGTGATCTTGGGCCAGCTTCCTAGGCTGTAATATTCACATCTGTGAAATGATGAGCATGGCCTGGATAATTGCTGTGGTGTCTCCCATGTCTAAAGTTCAATGACTGGCTGAACTGAAAGGACCTATGTGTCAACATCTACTTAGAAACTCAGATTCATATGTTATACCTTTGAAGGACCATATTTTCTTGCCATTTACCTTTGAAATAATATGTAGAGACATAGAGGTTTGCTTTTTTCCCCAATATTGGGCTATATACTTAGCAGTCTTATGAGTACAGGTTGCATATGTTTTTAAATTGTTAATAGCTGAGAAAGCTTAAAATTCCTTTGTATTAGAAAAACTATTGGTATGAGAGTATTGCATGCTGTGAAGTAAAGGCACATGGAGACTTTGTTCTTCTGTTGTAGTAATTTATAATGTCTGTTTAATGACGTAATTTAGTGGAAGTAATTCACATTTATGTAAATATTTAATCATAATTCCAGGTGATCTAAGTAGGCTATCATGATTACTCAGTGACATTTTATTTCTTAACGAGATTGGAAAACAGGTGTTTGGGCCATACTTACTACTGTTTCATAGTTAGATAAATAATTTTCTGAAAATCTCAGTTGGGCCAATCCCTAGGCTGCAAATGCTGCTTTTTGCCTCTGGAATATGTGAATTATTTGGATCAGGTCAGTTATATTTTTATTGTGAGCAGTCTTATTGTGGGCTGTGTGGAACATATAAGAAGAATCAGCTGATTTTTTTTCTGCTTTCCTCAAATCTAATTCAAGAGGCAGTGCATGAATCTACTAGAGAAAATTTACAAAGCAGTGTATTAATCAGCGCAAATTTAAATGTGTGGTGATTGCTACATAGCAGAGATTTCTCTAGATCCAAAAGAGTTTGTGGAGAAAAGACGTTTGAATTGTGGTTTTGAAGATGAGGAATATGGGGAGGCAAAGATGCTAAGCAGAAGGTATCGTTTGATTGCAAGTAGAGAGTTGGTATCTTCAGGAAATTTTAAAATTCTGTTCTACCATAGATGAACTGAGAGACTACGGCTGAGGACCTTGTATCTGTAAGGACTTGTTGAAGTAAAATGTGTGCTGTGAAAAAACAGTACAGAGATTCATAGCTGGGTGAACCTTTGTTTGGGTGGTTTATTGTTGTTAGACACATGAAGAAGAGCTGTATACTAAGAATATGTGCCTTAGGGCCCTGCTGCTCATGGTGTGTTAAGAGGCCACAGCTGGAAAGAAGTAAAAATGTTGAAAGCAAATGTTAGAAACTTCTGTAACAGTTTGATAATACCACAACATCCAAATATGTCATCATTTTCTAGCAGTTCACTTGTATTTTATAAATAATGTATAGGACCATGATGCATAGGAAATTTTTTAAAAACACGATCCTTCACAACTGGTATTTGAGAAGCACTGATTTTTTAAAAAAACTTTCTACGTTATGAACATATAAATAGGAAAAGTACCATTATTTGAAGATGTATACAGTTATTGGCCAGGAGTGATGGCAGAAGAAATTGAATTATGGGTGTATGCTCAGTTTGAGAGATAAGCCCCCCAGAACACTGGAGCTGGAATTTTGTTGAACATAGGAGGTAATATATTAGACATCAGTGCATGAGGAAACTGTAACAAGGTAGATAGATCAAGCTGAGAACTGGTATGACAGAAAAGCACCTGAGAGCCACTGTGAATCACAGATGTAATCTGGACAGCAGTAAAACTTTCTGTCAGAAATCCTCAGGGACAGTCTCTTTAAAACAAAGTTTGATGTAAAGAATACAGATATTTGTAAATGACATGATGACATCTGCTAACTATTCTTGCTAAGCTGTGTGACCACCGATGATTGAGATAAAAGTTCCTGCAGAATTTGTGTCTGGCAGTTTTGGCTTCCCGCTGTATAACACTCATGGTAGGTCTTTGCCTTCTTTTTTAGTCATCTAGTCATTTTTGTATTTAGCTTTCTTCCCTTCCCGAATTAAAGCAAAAAGGCTCTGGTGCTTGTCATTTACGTTTCTTTTGTTTTAATTGTACTTTAATACAACATTTCAGTCAATGTGCAGTTTTTACCTGGACATTTGTATTTTATCGAAGCTTCTAGTAGTGGGATAACAGTTTCACTTTTGTAAGTTTTTTAGGTTTTAACACCAAGTTAATTCTGTGGGATTAGAGGACAGAGACTTGTGAATATCATGTTTATTTCTTCTGTTCCTGATTGTAAAGCTCTTTGTTAGGATGAGGGAGGTGGGATGGGTGGAGGCCGTCGTATCTGCTCCTGGCTTATTTGTGAGGAGACAGGCTGGGATTGGCCTATCTCTGGGTGATTCCCCCAGTCTCAGTATGGAGCTTCCTCCCCACTGTTCTCAATTTCAAGAGCATCTTTCCCTCTGTCCATCATCTCTGTTACAAAGTTTTCTGAGATGTATATTTTATGATTTCTGATTACTTTGACGTTTAAAAATTTTTGTGTACATTTCATGTTCTTCAAAAGGTGACTTTTATGTTACATACTTTTACATAGGGAACCAAATAGGACTGACAAACTGGTGAGAGCTAAAATGAATTTGGAGAAATCTATAGGATTGTGGCATAGGCAATCTGGATGTAAATCCTTCCTTAATCCTTCAGATGGTTAGACTTGCTGAACACGAAACCAAGTATTGATCTTGGGCCGGGAGGGGTCAGGGGGGAAATGAGGAGAAAATGGAGAAGACATTGAAAAATAAATCTTAATGGGTATCACAATACAAAGTGTCACCTGTGAAACCATTTCTAAACATTTACTATATTCTCAGATGTTGTTTTACTTAGTATTTAGATTTCCAGGTGAGCCACATTGGGGTCTTTTCCCCATGAGTGTTGTACAGGAATGTTCTGATGGAAAATTGTGTTCAGAATTCCAAATTAACACCCTCTGAGCTATTCTTCTGTTACGGAGTCAGCTAATCCTCTGTTCACCTCCTTTTGCTATATGCCGTTGGAAACGTGCTCAAGTTTTAGATTTAGGGATATGTATGGTATACTTGTTGGAGTTCAGAGGAGCATCCTGGTTCCTGTTTGTAGCTTGCTCAGAGCTCATGGTGAGTTTTTATTTCTTAAGAGCAAACTGTTACGAATAGTAATAATTCAGTAGCGTTGAACAGTAGTCAAGGTTTTAGAGTTGGAAGTTGGATGGCAGGCAGTTTGAATTGAATCTCCTAATATACACTGATTGGGTCTTTAAGTTTAGTTAAACCTTTCTGTATCTTCATTTGCAAAATGAGAAAAATATTGCACTTAATACCTGGTTTGTTGAGTTGTTATGAGGACTAAATGAGAAATGCCCCATAAACGGTAGCTATTATTGGTAAAACATGATGTTAGTCAAACCTTTCTAGTCTTGTTTGGGAATTGTTTACTGTTATTAAATGAGTGAATATCTGTCGCTGC